ACTGCATCCTGACTGGCTCGTCTCCTCCCCGCGACCCTTCTGTAAGGGGATGTCCAGTTGCCTACAGATGGGCTTTGGGTCTTCACTCTGCACTCCCCCTCATTCACAATGATATGAGTTTTTGTTCTTTGATGCCCGATACCTGATTCCATCAATGACACCTCGTGATAGCACAGGCTGGTGTGCTTCTTCCATGTGGGCTTTGTTGCTTCTGAGCTATGGCCACTTGTTTATCTCAAGCCTTTAAGACCCCAGACACTATATCTTTTGAGAGCTGGCCACCATCAGCTTTCTTTGCTACATTTGCTTATGCCCCTGCTTTGTCTTCAGCTATGGTGTTGGGAAGGTGAGCATCATGGTTAATAGAACAAAGTGTTCTTGTGTTGAAGGAATACTTGAGTAGAGGCCCACTGTCCATCTGCTACCTTAATACTAAACCTATAAATATATGCACATAGATCTATTTCTTCATCATCATATGTAAATGTGATGTAAATGACATTTACATATGTCCACGCCTGTATTTAGTGAGTGTGGAGAATGTTTTGAATAGCCGTGTAGTCATTTTGTTTAAAATTCACGTAACATCTAATGTGCCACTTTTGTAAAATCCATAGATGGAAAAGCTACCAGTTGAATGTACACAGATGATTTTGTACATTTCCAGCTTTTTCTAATGGTTATTCTTTCCACTGCCCAAGCAAGCAGGAAGTGGACCGTGGGCCTTTCCAGTACATCCATGTCTAGCTCAACAGAATAAAGGGAGTGGTGAAGATTAAAGGAGGGGAGTCTTCCCTCTGTGCTGATGGGGAATCCGCGAGGTCACGGACTGAATGAGCATGGTCATCTCAGGTGGAGAGGAACCGGAAGCTCAAGTTTTGGTCAGGTGACAGAGTAGAAAAGATAGAAGAAGGATGTTGTGATAGATAAGGAGGAGGAAAGAAAAATAGGACTTTAGGTTTCTTAGATTCAGAGCTTGTAATGAAGCTGAATTCAACACACTTGGGGGGAAAAGCAGAGGTTAGGTTTGTAGGTCCAGTCAGGAAGAACATTACCGAGCAGCAGTACAATGTATTAGAGGTCATCGTATGTAATTGCTGGATTCACAGACATGACTGGTGCATCATGAGTCATATTTCTCTCAGGGTGTGCTATGTAGTGCGATAGAAAAATCAGATCTCGCCAGGTTTTTGAAAAGTAATGGTTTTTATAATGTCAGTGAGCACCGCTTTCACTATCTTGAGAGTAACATGGGTGTGTACTGTGTTAGCCTGCTTTCTGAAAGCTTAATTTCAATTTAATGTTTGTAGATATTAAAGTGTGCAGTGTGCTACTTTCTGATCTTTCAAGAAATGTAGGAAACTTTTTATTGATATGTTTACAGAGGCGACTGGATGGGGATGGTGTAAATACCTCATGGCCCTTAGGGATAGTCTAATGGTAAATAAAATCCGTCATCCTTCAAAAGTGTTACCCTTTCTGTTTGATCTTGCTGCATTTTAATGACTTGAGATACATAGTCTGTCAGTTAATATATTCCTGAGATTATCAGTGGACGCAGGGATATTGCTGGGCTGAGTGAGGTTATTTTGTTTGTTTCCTTCTCCAATGGAGTGAGTGAATCTCTTTAATTCTGCTGATTGCCAACCTGGTGATTCCTGTGTATAGTTGCTCAGAGAACAAAACGCAACTTATGTGAACTGTAAGAATGACTGTTTTTTGCAAGACACCAGTGAAAAGGCGATGGCTACTAACAATAGTCAGGAACAAATGTTTCCTTATGGGAAATGAGTTCATAAGGGGCAAGATAGGAGCCCTGGTGGCATAGTGGTTATGCGTGGGGTTGCAATCCACAAGGTCTGCACTTCGAAACCACCTGCAAGATGGGCTTTCTAGTCTCCTAAAGAGTTACAGTCTCAGAAGTTCATGGAGGCATCCTGTCCTATAGACCCTGTCCTATAGGGTCACTCAGTTGGCATCGACTCCATGGGGTAGTGAGATGGGTAAGTTGACCGGATAGCATGGTTGTCTGAGACATTCCTGGAACACACCTGTTTTTGTAGGATCTTAATTACCACTGCCCTTCACTCAGAAGTAGCTTCAATTGCTCCAAAGTAGCTCCAATTGCTCCATAAATTATAAGGTCATTCTGCCTGTGCCTCTTCTTTGGAGTTTTTAGCCTCTACTTTTTTTTTTTTTTTTTTTTTCGTAATTATCATTTTATTTAATTTATTATTTTCTTTTTTAACATTTTATTAGGGGCTCATACAACTGTTATCCCAATCCATACACACATCAATTGTGTAATGCGCATTTGTACATCGTTTCTCAAAACATTTTCTCTCCATTTAAACCCCTGACATTAGGTCCTCATTTTTCCCCTCCCTCCCCGCTCCCCCCTCCCGCATGAGCCCTTGATAGTTTATAAATGGGTATTTTGTCATATCTTGCCCTGTCCGACGTCTCCCTTCATCCACTTTTTGGTTGTCTGTCCCCCAGGGAGGAGGTCACACACAGTTCCATGTAATCGGTTCCCTCTTTCCTACCCATTCTCCCTTTACCCTCCCTGTTTTGCCACTCATACCACTGGTCCTATAGGGCTCATCCGTCCTGGATTCCCTGTATTTTCAGTTCCTATCTGTACCAGTGTACCTCCTCTGGTCTAGCCAGTCTTGCAAGATAGAATTCGAGTCATGGTAGTGGGAGCGGGGAGGAAACCTTTAGGAACTAGAGGAAGGCTGTATTTCTCATCATTGTTACATCGCACCCTGACTTAGCCTCTACTTTGACGATGCGTTTTCGTCGTTGCAAAGAGAAGTCAGTGGTTGGCTTTGACTGTTAAGAGCTTTTGAGACATTTGAGAAAAGTTGCCTCTTCCTGTGACTTCAGGGGACGGTACATTATGAAAAGAGTTAGAACTTGTTCAATGTTTGGCAGTTGAATTGAAGTTCAGCAGAGATGTTGTGATATAATATTATACCTGGGAGTAAGAGGCTTACAGATGCACACAACCTTCCTTCATACTTTGTGCTTTGAGAAAGAGAAATTTGGTAATGTTGGACCTTCGGCTGATGAAATGTTGGGCATGAAATGTTTATCTAGCATTGACCTAAATTCTGGCCATTTCTGTCTTCAAACAGCACCCATATTCTGAGGGAACCTGTTTGCTTAGGAGGATGTGAGCACATCTTCTGTAGGTGAGTAATTGTGGCCTCATGGTAGTATAGCTACTGCTTTTATTAGAGAATAATCATATAATCAAATTGATAGAGTACCTTATATTTATGTAATCATAGTCTTCAAAGTAACTTACTGTATATAACCTATGTCATTTGATCTGTGTAACTGTTTACAGATATGAAAACCAAAGCTTAAATATGGTGCTTTGTCTAAAGTTATATAATAGCTTTGGTATTCTTGGAGGGGCAAAAATAAAATGGCCTTCATATAATCTAAATATGTCTGCCTTAATTTTTTATCCAGTTAGTTTTGAATCTAGTTTTTCAAAATTTCGAAGATTAGTTCTTAAAGTTAGGATGAAATTCTATCAGTGGTCTAATGTTTATAGGTCCTGGTTTATAGGTTAGAAGATTAGCCTTTTATCTCATCTTGTTTCTTATTTAGGAGAAATCAATTGAGGACGGAATGTTTTAGCTTAATTCTGAAACACGGCAATGTAACTTCCTTTGAATCAATTTTTAAATTATTTCAAGAGTTGTGAACCCATACACTGAAGCTTGAGCATCCATGAATATAGTTTAGCTTGTGATGGAAGTGTGCAGGGTACCTGTGGAAGGCAGCTTTATTTGGGGGGGGAGGGTGATCCTAATCATGTTTTTTGAGACATAGATCTCTTACGTGGAACATACTTAGCAGGAGGATTGGGTAGATAATTATACCATTGTTTACTTGGATGTCTCCATTTAGATGACAAAAAGTTCAAACTTGATGTTTTTATAAAGCAAGTTCTAGATCCACGCCCTCAATATATTCCTGCCTCATTAATCCTCATTGCAGTGTATGGCACTGATCTAAGCATCACTACCAGATTGTGCTTTGTCTTCCCTATTCCTCTTGTAAGTTTACCAATTCTACTTCAAAAAGTTAAAAACAGAACCCCCAAGCCCATTGCCATTGAATTGATTCCAATTGTAGTGACCCCATACAGGGTTTCCAAGGCTGTAAATCTTTACGGGAGCAGTTAGCCACAACTGTCTCCCACAGAGTGGCTGGTAAGTTTGAACTGCTGACTTTGCTGTGAGCAAGCCAATGCTTACCCATGGGTGTCACCCCTGTGCTTCCTTGTACCTCAGAATGAGTGTTGAAGTCTGAGTTGTCTTGATTTTCTTTCTATTTGCTGCCGTTTATACATAATCCAAGTGCTCGCATCATATTATCTCACCTCAGATTGTTGGAGTAGCTTCTTAGCTAGTCTTGTTTCCTTATCCTTTCTCATTATCTTATGGTCCGTGACTTTTAAAATAGTAATCACATCCGTGTAATTCCCCTGCTTGAAATCCTTTTGTGATCTCCAGAGCCCTGTCCTGACCGCACTAGCTCCCTGACTCACTTGGCCCAGCTGCACGTTCCTACTTTTTACTAAACACGATGGACTCAGTCTTGCCTCAGGATTTGGGGACCTGCCGTTTCTTCTGCCGGCAGTGCATTCTGCCAGATTTCTGCGAGGTTAAAAAAGAAATTCCAGCCCAGCTGTCACCTTCTTGTAAAGATCATCTCCTCTAACCTCCTGAAATGATGGCTACTCCCAGTCCCCATCCTGAAGCTGCAGAAGCCCTGTTCCAGCTGAGACACAGCAGGCTTGTTCACTGAAGACCACAGACTAGTGACAGTACTGCTCAAGCTTAGTGACCCCCCCGGCATTGTGTAGTATGGGGGGTGCTTACCTTTAATCAGAGTCTGAAGTGCTCTGGGATTGAACCAGACATTGGAACATCACTAAAGAGAATGATGTATCTGGTATAATGAAAGAATCCGTGATTCAGTGCAGGTTTCATTCTTTTGATTACATGGTGCTAAGAATCAGGACAGTAGCTTATATATTCTTTGCAGACTCAGAATTACCTAAAACCATTGTGCTGGCAGCGTGCACTTTTTAAAGATGGTTTTGTGGTGGCTCACCTGAAACGGAGAGGTGGTGGGGAGGCATGGAACACGGATTTGAAAATTGACAGTGTTCTGGTACTTTCAGAGTGTTTCCCTGGTGAAAGCAGTCCATCTGTTCTCTTAACAATAAATTCATTGAAGACATTGGAGGAATGTTTCTCAAACTTTGGGTGTCAGTCTCCATTAACTCACATCAAGCTTACTGCTATTGAATTGATGCTGACTCAGCGCCGCTGTAGGACAGGGTAGGACTGTCCTTGTGAGTTTCCGTGGTTATTACTTTTTATGGGAATAGCCCAGCCTTTCTTCGATGGGAGTGTCTAGTGCAGTGGTTACCAACCTTCCTAATGCCGCAATCCTTACATACAATTCCTCATGTGGTGGTGACCCCCGCAACCATAAAATTATTTTCCTTGCTACTTCATAACTGTAATTTTGCTACTGTTATGAATCGGGTGACCCCTGTCAAAGGGTTGTTTGACCCTCCAAAGTGGTTGTGACCCACAGATTGAGAACTGCTGGTCTAGTGGTTTTGAACTGCTGACCTTGCGGTTAGCAGCCCAATTTGTAACCACTAGACCAATTGAGAACAATAAGCAGCATTTGCTTATGTGTGTATAAAATCTAGATAGTTATCAGGGAGCTTCAAAAAGTTTGTGGAAAATTTCCATTATCTTTTAATGCCGTTCTTCCAAACATTTTAGAAATCCCATTGTACATAGATAATAGGTATAATAGAAGCAGAGGCATTTTTAAAATGCTGATTCATTAAAATAATGTTAATAAATCTAATTGGACATTAACATACATGGCAACTTTTAGAAACGAAAGAATTTATAGTTCCTTAAAAAAATGACATTGTTCCACATCTTGCATATTTCTTCGGTATCTTACTGAAAAGAAGACAGCGAGAGTCTCATATCTGGTTATGTATCCATTCTATTGACATATGCTGCTTTCCCTGAAGTATATAAAGAAATTCTGGCTTCTCACATGAACGATAGTTGGATAAAACTCAAAATAACCAACCTCACTGCCGTGAAGTGCTCACAGTGATCCCCTGTGGGGTCCCAAGACTGTACCTCTTTTCGGGAGGCAGGAGAAAGCCCAGCCTTTCCCTCCTGGAGACGCTGGTGATTTCGAACTACTGACCATGTACATCACAGCCCAACACATAACCACCACTAGGTAGTTGGAAAAAGGAGAAATAATTTTACCAACCACTGTCTTGGAAACCCTATGGAGCCCTTCTGCTTGGGTCTGTAAGGTTGATAGGCGTCAGAGTCGACCTCATTGAGTCTCCGCTGAAGGTTGACAAGTAGTAGTTTTTCTGTGGAACCTGAAGCCCTGTCAGTGTTTCATTATCTTCCAGTGGCTTATCTTGTAACTGAATGGATCTTTTACCAGTCATGATTTTGTGATAGCATACCTTGGTCATTTGGATACTATTGGCTCATTGAATAATACACACCAATAGAGTGATGTTATGCTTCCCCAGAATTCTGGGTTAATATATGAAACATAAAATGAGAACCATTCGGAGTACACATTAAAATACAAAATAGTCTTATATGTTAGGGGAAAAAGGTGCTTCATTTATTTCTGTTCAAATTGGGATGGCTTATTGTTTAGAATTCAGATCCGATTGAATGCTTGTTGTTTTTAATCTTTTTAAAGTGACTGTGTAAGCGACTGCTTTGGAACCGAATGCCCCGTGTGTTACACCCCAGCCTGGATACAAGATGTGAAGATCAATCGACAGTTGGACAGTATGATCCAACTTTGTAGTAAGCTTCAAAATTTGCTGCATGACAATCCGCTTTCAGGTAAGAACTGCTATTTCAGATGAGAAATACGATTCATTCCCTCTTGGCTAAATAACTGATGAATTCATATTGGTCACTTAAAATATGTGGAAGAGGAACTATCAGGAATTTGTGAATGAATGACAGGGTAGATTTTTCTTTTAAGATTAGGTGTTTAGGATGCAGTGGTTAAAAACGGTCAGCTACTAATAGAAAGGTCAGTGTTAATGAACCCACTAGTCATTTTGGGGGAAAAAGATTTAGCAATCTGCTCTCATAGGGATTGCAGCCTCGGAAACTACGGGATAGTTCTGCTCTGTGCTGTGTGGTTGCTGTGAGCCAACATCTCTGGCACATAGCAGCAACATCGTCTTTAGAATAATTGTGAGAAATGACAGTTAACCTGAGAGATGGTAAAATCCTAATTCCCTTGTGTTATAGATGAGCGCCAAAGTCCAGAGAGGGTAAGTGACTGTGAGTTAATATCAGAATTGAGAGGGTAGACCCCATTTTGTTGCATAGTCAGTTCAGACTTTTACCACTCTGCCTGCCTGCTTTTCACAGTAGTGATAATCCCTTTATAGTGTGTATGGAATAGCGATTGTCCTCAATGGTGCTTAACTCACTTAAATACAGTTTTAGAAGATAGGATACAGCATTCTTCCAAGGGTCACTTTCCTAGGTTGAATTAATTAGATGAAAACATTTTGAGACAGCCAAAATCTTATATTCTTCTTTTCTATTTAAATGGGGGTTAATGTTTTTCAAATTGTTCTTAGATTCTGTTTGTTAACTATTTATCTTCCCATTGTGCTTTCTGCTGAGAACTAATTAGCTGTGGAAAGAAAGTACAAGTGCTTTTGATCTTTGTAATTGGAAATTGCAATTGTCATTTTATTGGTCAGATCACTTCATTTTAGCTTGTGTATGTAGGAGAGCTTTTTCTTGAGTGACAGGTGCCATGAATGATTGATAATGCTCATATGCAATTGTTAGATCTGTCATCAAATCTTATGTTCTTAGATACATGACATAAAGTGTTGTTATCCGTATGTAAAAGCCCAAGCAAAAATCCTTAGAGTCTCTAACTGGGCATCTGTTTTTTAGAAGTGAATTATAGTCTGCTTATGAAAAGTTTTATCTTCTCGGTGTCTATATGGATCATTGTGTTAAGCACCGTTCTCATGATAAAGTGTGGTATAGCGATGCAGTTTTAGAATAGTGTTAACCACTAACCATGTGATTATATGACTATTACAATAAGAGATGCAGGGATCAGAGTTTTGCTTTCTTCTAACACAATTAAACATGCACATGGAAAAATGGGATGTAAAGGATGATAAGCTTTTCTCACAAACTTTCTGACACCCCCATATAAGTAGGCATGCCCATATAAACATAGGATCCTGATGAGTTAGAACTGACTTGTTGGCACCACCAACATACATACATATAAATACTTATTTAAGGTACTTCATTTAAAAATTATAATGTGGTTATAAATCTCTCTAAGATGATGAGGAAGAGATGTGTCGTTGACTCTTCAGCATTCTTCGAGTGCACGACAGTGCTGATTATATTTATTTTCTAGTTGATAAGACTGGGTATGTAATTGGGCTTTTCCCCTCTTGTGGATTCTTCTTCAAGGGTCCCTCTGTCCTTGATAGTGTTCTGCAGGGAATTAGTGAACCTACTGTGCTCAGAGTACAATATGGAAGCTACTCACTCCTGGGGTAAAGCGGGCTTTTATCACTTTGTTAAAAATTAGATGGTAGTAAAAAAGATAAAATTATTAGTTACGCATTGACAGTTTGGGGGCTACTTTAAGATCTGTGGCTCTTTTGATGCTGTGATTGGACTTTTCTCCAGTTGGTATGTGGTAAGTAACATACTCCTTTTTTGTTTCAAATCATTTTTTTGGGGGCGCTTACAGCTCTTATTACAACCCATACATCCATGCATTGTGACAAGCACCTTTGTTCATAATGTTGCCATCATCATTTTCAAAACATTTTCTTTTCGAGCCCTTGTTATGAGTTCATTTCCCCTCCTCCCTCCATAAACACTTGATAATTTATAAATTATTTTTTCCCATGTTTTACACCGACTGCTGTTTCCTTCACCCACTCTTCTGTTGTCCAATCCCCTGGGAGGGCGGTATATGTTGATCATTATGATCGGTTCTCCCTTCTCCCCCCACTTTCCCCTTACCCTCTTGGGATTGCTACTCTCATGATTGGTCCTGAGAAGTGTATCTGTCCTGGATTCCCTGTGTTTCCAGCTCTTATCTGTACCAGTGTACATGCTCTGGACAAGGTGGATTTGTAAGGTAGAATTGGGGACATGATAGTGCGGGAAAGGAAGCATTAAGGAACTAGAGGAAAGTTGTGTGTTTCATTGTTGCTGTACTGCACCCTGACTGGCTCGTCTCTTCCTCGTGACCCTTTTGTGAGGAAATGTCCAATTGTCTACAGTTGGGCTTTGGGTCTCCACTCTGGCCTCCTCATTCACATCAATACGATTTTAGTTCTGGTTCTTTGAAGCCTGATCCCATACTCACTTCTAAATGGTGACCAAAAAGGGCAGTGGCCATAGTCTCATAAGGTTTACTGGGGTACCTGATTTCAGGCTGCGTAGGAGAAAAAGGTAGAGTCCCTCTTCTGGCTTTACTGTGATTAAGTGACATTTAAACTTTTGGTATGTTTTTAATATTTTATAGAACTTGCAACGTGGAATTTTTGTTATCATTAAACAAGATTTTTTTTTTTTTTTAAACAAGATCTTTAGAAAAGTTAACTGTGGAGCATGTGTCTTTCTGGGTGTGAGGCTGGGTTTGAGTGCTGTTTTTCTTATCTAAGAGTCGAGGTAGAGTGTTGAGAGAATTACAATAATTCATTTTCCAAAAGCCATTTTTTCTTTTACTTATTCCATGCTTACGCCTTGCCAGAGTTTAGCTTCAAGATACTTAGTTGACATTTCATTGTTTGGGTTTCATATCATTAGACTTGCAGTAGCTGTGAGTTCCCTTTTAATTCTCGTATTCTGTACTAAGGACATTGAGGGCTGAGACTCCATAGGGTGGTCCCCTCGCTCGCTGGCTTTCCTGCACAATGCGATCGTGAGTTATATTCATTTTGTTGAGTTGGGCTAGTGGCAGTGCTGAGACTAACTCATGTCCCAAACACTAAAATGTTTTTAAAACAAAAATCTCAGGTTTTGTTCTGTTTTATAATGGTAACAGCCTCCTGTGTTACTTTGATGAGAGGTAATAAGAAATCTAGAATATAAATATTCTGAAATAAAAATATCTACCTAGATCTATAATCTTCATGGTGCAAACTTTTTTCCATTTTCATATAAATTGCATCGTTGCCAATTTTGCCTCCTCAAATAGTCCCATAACGAACTAGGCTTACAGGATATTTGAAATGTCCTGCCTCCCACAACACGCCCCAGCACCCCGAGTGATTCTCTCTCTCTCTAAAAATTATCCACTGAATATGTTTTATGTAGTGCCTTAGCTTTAGTTAAAATCCTTGTAAAAACTAAGGTGGCATAAGGAAGCTAAAAAATAAGTAGAGGGAACCAGTAGTTGGGAACAAATGATGGTTGGTCTTCTTTATAATAAGGACACTGGGGCAAAAAAATCTAACCATAAAATACAGGTTTTCAATTAAGTGTTCCCTTCGATCAGCGGTTCTCAGCCTGTGGGTCGCGACCCCTTGGTGGGGTGTGTGTGTGTGTGTGTGTGTGTGTGTGTGTGTAATGACTTTCGCAGGGGTTGCCAGATTCATAACAATAGCAAAGTTACAATTATGAAGTAAAAATGAAAATAAGTTTATGGTTGGGGGAGTCACCACAACATGAGGAACTGTAGTAAAGGGTCATGACATTAAGAAGGTTGAGAAGTTTTAGACCTAGTTCCAAAATAAAGAGCAAGTGCTGAATATGTTGAATTAATTGAAATGGTTGAGCATCTTCCACATCTTCCCTTTAAAAAGGAAAGAAGAAAAAACCCCAAAAACCCTGTAGTTCACAATTTATCTTCCAAATGAACCTTGTTACTTGCATTTACTATAAAATATATAATTACTGTAATTAAGGTGGGTAATTAGGAAGAGCTTGTCAAATCATGGTCATAGTATCTGGTATACCAGAGATAAAGAAGCCTGATTTATAGTAATACTTTCTAAAATGAGCTTCTAAACACTTGATCAGATTTTTCTTGGTTCAGTGTGCTTTAAAGAAAAGATTGCCTGTCATAAATTTTACTGACAACCATTTATGGATAATTTTACCCAATTCTTTATAGCATCATCCACTTTCGACTAATGGAGTTAAATGTAAAAGTTTTTATTTCTCCTGCACCCCATCATATTAAATCAGACCCCACAGGTGCTGGTCAGGTTTTGCAAAGCATAGTTTGGTGTTGATGACAATAAAAACCAAACAAACAAACTTTGATTACGCATTCATGGATTCACAGTTTTCCGTCACGTTGTCTCGTTTCAGTAGAGAGGCTGGTCTTGTGTAGCGAATGGACATAGTGCTGCATATGCGCTGTGACTTATTTTTTGACAGTGGGTGCAGATGAGTGCTGCAGTCCTTGTGTGGCTGTTGCTTTTCTAAGTAGAGCTGAGCACTTCTTCACTTAGCATATAATCAGTCTTTCCTGACGGTGGTAATGTTGCACAGATGGTAGCAAAGGATTTCCCTTTGATTTTTAATAAGGGACCAGTTTGTCAAAGAGATTTCTCAACTTCAGTTGTGAAGCCTGTAATAGAGAATAATTTGAAAGACACACTGTGCATCATCATAGTCCTTTGATGTAGATTAATGATAGCTAAATCACATTTTCTAATTGCCTCTCTTTCTGTAGCTGTTTATTTATTTATTAAATTTTAAGCAAAACTTGGCTTAAAGCAATACCTTAGGAACATGTGCACCTCTATTTCTCGATATTTTGGGGAATGCTCTGAAATATGTCAGTTGATAGGTGAGGATTCTTTTAAATGTCATTA